CGCATGCACGCATGAACGTGCGTACGCACCAGTACGCAAGCGCGTGCACGCACGTACGCATGCAGCACACGCACGCGCGTACACCTAGTTGTTACAATCCAAGGCACACATTGAACTGTAACACCAACATTTAACCCTATAGCCTTTATTTGCCGACTACAGTACTTTACAGCTTAGCGGGTATAACAGTGACACGTTTTTATGTTGTCACTGGCACGGGTCATGTACCAATTGCATATGTCACATATTGGCACGGTATTAGCATTTATGTGAACAAAACAATTTGCATTGCTTTCTTTATCACCGCATAACTTGATTAAATTGAAAAACGATGGCATGATTTGAAAGAACATACATGGCAAGGCTGTATTAGTTAATATTAAACTAGTACAAACTGCATTCATACTTATTAATACTACATTGCTAGGAATTAAACCTGCATACATAGCATGTTAAATGCAAATTAAGAAGCGACCTTAATTATCAAATGTAACCGGATGACGTTTATATACTACAAAACTTTCACTATGTAACAGGCCATGATTACGTCGACCAGTAACAGAAGGTCATATAATGAATATAATTAATTTCCTACACAAAATTTATTTAATTACTATTATTAATTTATTGAGACGCACCTACTCTACCAACGTCCATCATTTACCGCAAGTGTGCCATCATTAAAGCCGTTTTTAACCGGCATCGTCATCGTCAGGAAAACGTGTAACAGATGTTTCACCCATCGAATACCGCGAGCATCATAATTATAATGAAATTGTTGCAATACATTAACGACATTTGCAAACATTGGTCGCGGCACCTGTTCGCATTTCTTCGGGGTTATGATTCGCGTAGTTGTTCACGAAGACAGCGCGATATATGCGTTTGTTCACCTACCAGAATGTTGAAACTGAAGAGGACGGCGTTGATTCGATCCCTCGCGGGCACGGAGCTGCTACGATATCCACAATGGCATCCCGCCAGTGATGAAACCCCCACGCACACGCACACACACACACACAGTAGATACACGTATCGTCGGAACGTCGGCTTGTGTTGCGACGCATCAAAAACATACACAAACTTGCCGCGCGCGCCGACACACTCGACTCCCACGCCGACACGCGAGTGTCGAGTTCTCACCGCCCAGTTGTCGCAGCGGCGGCGTCACCGTGGTGACAGCGTCACTGCGTTGGACGCCAGACGAATGTCCCGTTAGCCGACGACACGCGGCCGTCCGACGGTCGTCCTGTGGCGCTGACGGCGGGGATCTGAGCTGTCGATATCGCCGAAAGATTTGCACGACGACACGGCTCCAGCCTCGACGTTACCTGCCGACTCACTCACTATAGCGATAAACCAACCTGTCTGCCTGCTCGCGCGCGCGTGTGTGTGTCACGTCCGCTGAGCGAGAACTCACCACGTCGGCGGTGCAATGACCCACCTGCACTGATGCGGCACGACGTATAGGCTCTATGTGAGCTATACCCATCTCCGCTGTCCCCCCGCTAATCCGCGTGCAAGAACCCCGCGCACCGGGGGGGGGGGGCTGCTACGGTGGAGCTGTGGAGGCGTCTATTGCCGTACGCACAGCGGCGATCGGTCACCCGTCGTGCGAAATGAATGAAACCAGAAGGTTCACGTACGAGCGGCGAGTCCGCTGACCAGCGGTCCCGTAGCTGGTGCGAACTACACCGTGAAGTAGTTCTTACGAACAATTGGAACCCATGTACGGGATAATTCCATTTAGCACGCGCGTCGGACGTGTGGTGATAATAATTAACCCCATACAGCCGCTGGTCGGACGTCTTTCTTTCCTTCGAATAGCAAAATAAACACCGATTTTCTTCCACTGCGTTAATTCCCCGACCAAAATGACATGAACTGAACTACCCTCGCAGGTTTCCAGTTTCCATTGCTTGAGTGATCACTCTAGATACACCCATCCCTCGTGGCGTAGGGACTCCCACTTGATGAAAGGTTTAGCGTTGATGTATTTGCCGCATTTCTCGCCGTTTCGTTTCGCAGGATATACCAATCGCATGTATTGTGTAAGGCTTTGGGGTACATGTGGCCGGGCCGTATATATATATATTTATATATATATATTATGACCTATGCGAATTCTTTGAATATATTATTGAAAAGAAAACTCAGAAAATTAACGTATTTAACGCAGCTTCGTGGTTTCTTGAGAAAGGCTTAATCGGGAAAAGGTTACGTTAACCTGGCCAAGCGACAGTCCGAACCTGACCTAGCGGTCAGTAGCAGCACTGATCCAGCACCCCCTCGCACTACAGTCGCTGCTGGGGGATTAGATAGCCTGGACACCTGTCACGCGCTTGTTTTGTGATCAATCGCATATCAGAAGCCGGCCCTAGTTCGCCAGGGGGTTCATTTGGGACACGAGTCTATATCCACTCGTTCTCTATCGACCCATCAGTTGATGTTCCTGTAATTATCATCGGTTACCAGTAGCCAGCAAAGATAGTCGATCAAGAAATGTTCGAGGCAATAATCAGAAAATGTTTGCGTTCACAACAGTCTGTTCAGGTTCTGAAAATCTACGCTATAAATTCACGTTAGACGACCAACCCGAGCAACGGCTTTTCTCACACAAAAGATTTTAAACCGGCCATCGGGTTCTCCTGTTTGTTTCTCTAAGAGCAATGTCCCGTAAGTGAGAGACCGGCAGATTTCTACCGGAATACTTATATATTATAATCACTAAATTGCTGCTAGTCAACGCTGCGGCGGTAACAACGAGCGAGAGAAGGAGCTAATGGCTAATGTAGCCACGCTGTCGGAACGCGAGTGCCCCGACCCTTTAAAACGGGCGCAGTAAATAAAGAAACTCAGCGCGTGATTCGTACGGCCGAGCTCTAAGTACAACGAGAGACAAGTACAACGCTCAATAGGAGATGTCCGGGGAGTAAACTTTCTAAAGAAAACCAAACAGTCCGCGCGCGGAGGCCTTTCAGCGACCGTCAAGAAACACGCGCGGACAACTACTTCCTAGTTTGAAGAGCGATTACGGTGGAGGTCGCCGAGCACGCACCGCCAATTAGCGGGAGAAAATAAATACGCTAGCAAAGTACTTCGAGAAGGTAATGAAGGTAAAGCAGTTTCTTATCATTACGCGGCCGGCCGAGAGAGAGAGAGAGAGACAGAGAGACAGAGAAAAAAACGAGAGAGAAGAGAGAGAGCAGAAAGAGGAGAGAGAGAGAGAGAGGAGAGAGAGAGGGAGAGAGAGAGAGAAAGAGACAGACAGACAGAGAGAGAGAGAGAGAGAGAGAGAGAGAGAGAGAGAGAGAGAGAGAGAGAGAAGAGAGAGAGAGAGAGAGAGAGAGAGAGAGAGAGAGGAGAGAGACAAAGAGGAAGAGGGAAAGAGAGGAAGAGTGAGAGAGAGAGAGAGAGAGAGAGAAAAGAGAGAGAGAGAGAGAGAGAGAGAGAGAAGAGAGAAGGAGAGGTGTGTGTGTATGTATGTGTGTGTGTGTGTGTGTGTGTGTGTGTGTGTGTGTGTGTGTGTGTGTGTGTGTGTTGTTGTGTGTGTGTGTGTGTGTGTGTGTGTGTGTGTGTGTGTGTGTGAGTGTGTGTGTGAGTGTGTGTGAGTGCGTGAGAGAGAGAGAGTGTGTGAAGCAAAAGAGAAAGAAAAACATATGACGCGAACACGAAAGGCTGACTAACGTCGCGACTAATGAATGTAACGCCAGGAATCTACGTTTTAAACTGATGTGCGTCACATTGGATTTCACTCTGCCAGGGACGAATCTCGCCGACTAGAGGCCAAGACAGATCGACAGCCAGACCAGAAGCATGCGGAATGAACGCCGCGCACGCGTTCATATATCACGCTAAGAGTGTAACGACGACCAGCCTACATAAAGCTTACAGTAACGCCGACTGTAACCATAGAAACTTGTGCCTCTTTAACCATGGAAATAATACTAGTTAGATTATCTATATAGCTGTCTATAGTAGTGTCTCTATACTATAGTGTCTCTCTGTTAGTATCTCTATATATTTCTATGAAAGCAACCAACAACGCTTACAGAACACCACTAAAGCTGTACAGCCTCGTAATGCGGCCATCTGCCTCGTCCGACTGTTAGGCTGCGATCCGCAGTCGCTCTGATGACCGACATGTGTGACACTTTACGTTGGCGTTGACAACAAGAGCCTTGTGAAAATCAGCACGTCCGACAACCCGATTACCCGGACAGCCGGCTACTAACGAGTAAGCCCTCCATCGGCTGTGTGCGAAGCTACAAAGGGTTCGCTCATGCTGCATACGCGGCGGAGTACCTCGCCCAGTCGCCACGCAGAGAAATGTCCCCGTATTATCAGTATTGCAATTTGTTTACCCCGAACAAATTGCACCCGTGAGAAAGCAAAAAAAAATCTGCGAATACCTTCACGGCTAACAGCGCTATTGTCAGTGCGCGTTTACGCAGCTGCTAACGATTTTGAAGACTCGCGTTTCATTAAACGAGATCGGGTTGGAAGAGAATTCGGCGGAAGAAAACGTCGTCAGTGTACGGGTGCGTTTCAAATGTTAGTTGTGCAGTAGTTGAGAATCCTCATTGGGTCATCATTGCGCATCTAGCCAGTCCGCCATCATTTTTATACGTACCCGTTTCTGAATTTTAGCAGTACCCTATGGCCGTCCATAGATGCAATAGGCGCCGTTGTGATACCTGCTCGTATATTTTCTGGGAACTAAGTAGTTATTTATTTAAAAAAGGAGTTATGTGTGAATTTTCGTTCTTGTAGATCAAATGACGCGCCTAGTCACTTAGAGTAGGGCCTACTGTCGGTACGCACCGGAAATTCTGGTTTTACCTAATGGATCAAAACAGGCTCCTGCATATTTCACTTTCTCGCCGTGTTTTTTTCTATTCTCTGTTGTCACGACCTTACGCAATCGTCACGTTACCGGTTACCAAATGATTGCTTCCTGAACGAGCACGTAAGTGATCCGCAGCACAAGTTCAAATACATTTCGAACGCAAGGAAATTGTAATGCAAAGTTTAATGGAAAGTGGTGTGAAACGCAATCATTTGCCGCACTGACATTTCAGCTCCCCATGTGCAATTGTGGGAGGTGTAAAATTAATAGTTGTGCATCTAGATGATTCGTACCTATAACGCGAGCAGGCGTTTACTACCCAAACGTGTGCAGCAAGTAAAAAAATGATTTTTTTACACGCGATCTACTTCACTTCCTGCAGCATTTCCGATATCGAATTAAAATCGTCAAGTTCATTGTACACGGCAAACTCTTAATTACACAATAAATGCAATATAAACTAGAAACAACAGCAGCAGCACCACAGTAGTATTACATTCTGTAGCATAAACAATTGTCAGTTGATGCATTACACGAATGTAATATAAATCATATCATGGATAAGGAAATACCGCACCGCAGTCAGAGAATACATGTTGATTACCCCAAATCATCACTTCAATTAAGGCTAATCTATTTATAAAGGTGAACCCCCTAGATTGGCGCCGCGCTCTCAACGTACCACTCTACGGCACACGTGCCCGCGATAATCAGTAGAGCACAGAAAACTTCGTGCCAGTCTATGAATTCCGCTTGTCTGTCTGGTTTTCTCAGCCGCTTCACTCTCAAACTTCGGTGAGCACACACGAAATCTTTCCAAATTCCTCATTTAGAACATTCCACCGACTATTAGCTATAATCTATAAGCCGCCTCATACCGTATAGGCCTACACACACGCAATCTCATCTTTCGCGTGACCGCATTGTCATGTAGAGCATGAATAAGTCCAGCACTGCCTACTGCTACCACTGGTTGGTGTATAATTATTGATTTTTGTCGCCTCTGCAGTAGCGCCGTCTGCATCACTTTCGCTTTCATATGCACGGCCACGTGCTACCTACAGGTATGCGCACATAATTCACGTTGCCTAACACTAAAATTAAGCATGTTAAACACACGACGCACACACCCAACCTATACCTACAGAAAGAGACATAGACTTAGTGACTAGAAACTGAGCACTTGCTCATTTTCCCGTTTTTCCTGGTTATATTACCGCCGGGTTATTTTGCTAGTGTAATGTGTGCAGAAACCTCACGCGATGCAATAGCTCCCACAATTCCGGACTGTGCCAACTTCGTATGAGTTGTTTCAAAAGTCTCAAGTCTATACACACAGAGTTAACTCAACCACGGTAGTTTCTCGTCTGATAATTTATTGTCAACGTTGTATGATCTATTGTTATGCCGACGGTGTTAGCAGATGGTGACTTTGGGTGACAAATGAGAGTCTGAGAGCAACAACCAATATCAGACCCATGCGGTATAGTGTCGCCGGTCTCTCTCTATCTTTCTCTCTCTCTCTCTACACACAGATGGAGAAAGAGAGAATAGAGAGAGAGAGATAGAGAGAGAGAG